CTTAACCCTCACCGAAATCACCTATTCCTCCCTTTCCAAAAGGGAGGAAAGCATTGACCAAGCTTTGCCCGTCCAAGTCTCCTCATATACCTCGCCAAACCCTGATGCTTCTGCGGTGATCTCTAGGCGCAGGTCGTCCTTTTCTGTGTGCTCGTATTCTTTTCGATCATTTTGGCTTAGACAACGACTTCCATTCTTTTGGTCATTCGACTCTTTCTTTCCAACCAAACAACGTCACCAAAATTTCCTTGAGCACACACTTCACTTCTCGGCGACATCATGGGGAAACTCATCAAGAACCATTGGGCCCGCCTTATCGTCCTCACTGCCGCCACATACCAAGTCCTGGCCAGCCTCGAAGGCTTCTTCTGGCCCAAGATCTTCTGGGACTTCCTCACCAAGAACCTCGACGGAGCCGTCAAACCCTTTCCCGTCTTACAAATCATCAATCTCATCATGGCCTTCATGAGCCTCGCGTGGGAATGGCCGCTCGCTCCGGTCGTCAAGTTGTTGCCGGGTCTCCATAGGAGCATGGAAGCCAGATTGGTGGTGTATCCTTTGGCAGCTTTGGCCGCAGCCATCATGTATCAATCGACCAATGCGGCATTATACTACATTGTTGGCGTGGTTGTATACTTTTGGGCCTACTCAGAAGGCGAGGTAAGTTGATACTCAGTCCCGTTCACTCGAGGAGCATCTCGCTGACATAATCCCAATTCAGACCGTCTGTCCAGAACCTTGGACTGTACCGAAGAAAGGAGGTGCAAAGCCTGGCCGGGTATGAGGAGAATAAACAGCTGTGCTGGTTTTTTTTTATATAAATAAGAGTTGTTCCGCACCCATACGGAACAATGGCGTTGGTTATGGTCAACAGATCCCTCTGGATGTCAAAGTGGCTATTATGCCAGCAAATGTAGATATTATGCCCGATACGGGAAATGAGAAGTCACGTTAACACAGTTTTGTGTTTGAATTCAAGGACTACTCTGAAAAATATCAAGTATCTTATCAGTTCTCGTTTTGAGAGACTAAAGGGTCAGGCTAGCTATCTATACCGGAAGTGGCGTTGCTACCCAGACCAGTACAGCCAGCCTCGTTCAGGCCTCCCAAGTTGTGTTGAGAGTTCATTTCGCACCCAGATACGCCACCTATTGGGGGGGAATATGTCGTGCATTAATGATTGTAGATAGCTTAGTTAGCCTGTGCTTCGGGGTTGCTTGGCTTTTTCGCTTCATGAGGGAGGCCTTGAGGGATCTTGAGGATCTCGGATCTTGATGCATTCAAATCGATCCTGTACAGGCTTGGTGTGGACGAACAATCAGGGGGGCAAGGAAGGATCTCGCTTGCTTCTCTCTCTCTCTCTGTGCATCTTCGTATTCGGAGCCACGATTGACTACTAACTCACTCTGAGAACACGCCGCCAGCCGACTTACCAGACAGCAGGAGTGATCTTCTCCTTTTTCAAGAACGCTGTGTTTTACCCAAACTCTCATAATAGATACTGGATCTCAGTCATGTTCATTTTTTTGTCTCTTTTCGATTCTTCTGATACCCCGTACACGTGTCACATGTCCTGGGAGATATTGGTCCCTTCTAATCACACACTGATTTGGATGTTGACGACTTGCAGAGGAAGGAAGAGGAACCGTTCGATGGCTCGAGGAGGACTTCAAGCTCAGCGGCGCTGAGGACTAGGTAAACTTTCGTTCGGTGCACGGAGGTTCGGGGCATAGCACGGGGTGGTAGATCAAAGGGGTCAGGGCACAGGAAGAAGTAGGGGAAGGCATCAGGAGGACGTGACCGCAGCAAGTGTAGGTTTGAATTGACCTCAGCGAGCCAGTGGCTGTGTCGGGTGCTGGAGCAACCGTAAAGTACTCATAGGGAATCGATCATTACATCGTGAGAGTTGGGAGAAGTCGAGTTGTGGACATGTCGATCAATGTCGCCATGGTACCGAGTATTGTTGGAGTGACTGCGCCCACATGGCAAAATAATGACAAGGATGTTTTCGTCAGCTGCCGCCGTTCATTTCTGCACGTCATTGTCAGGTATGTCAGACATCAACCTTCTCTTTCTAAACACGACCGCAGCCTCGCGTGCTTCTGTCGAGGAGTCGGGGGACAGCAGACTACACAATTCAAAGACAGTCTAAGCGTGCAACAAGCGTGTCAAGCTCTCCTATCCGCAGATCCAAGACGCGCCTATCACCTCGATGGCTTTCCTCCTTGGTGGCTGAAACCTCTTGGCGAGGGTTGCGACAGATCCGCGCCAGATTCAACCCTGATGATCAACCTTGATCAATGGGACGCCACCAAGCAGTAAAGAGCAAGCACGAAATGATGCCCAGACGACGAAAAGACCTTCCCACTACTACTGTGTTGTTGTCCAACGCCATCCCATGGAATTCGCGCTTGCTGCGCAGCCGGTGCCAGACAACTTGCGCACGGCAAATCCAGGCCGTGCAAAAACTCGTCTTCCTTGAAATTGCGCGCTGGTCTGGTCGACGGTTCGACGGGTTTGCAACACCAATTTCCTGAGACCCCTGTCGAGGACCACTTTTTGGGGGGGTGGAACAAACACCACACCACCAACTCTCGCGATGAGAGATGGGTGAGTGGTGCGAGGCTCTGTAGCTTAGCTCTCGCCTCGCCGATCCCAAAGGTTTGTGGCTTCTCCTTTATATCAGGTTTTTGTCGCCCGGTTATAGTTTCATGCTTCGCCCTCCCTTTTGTTTGTTTGTCTGTCAACCACTATTACACCATTTACACCAGTCACTCGTTTGTTCTCCGTGTAAAAAGCTCGCCGTCTTCCGGTACACTCGTCTACTCGTGCCTATCTTTTGCTTGCAACCGAATCGAATCAATCGCCATTCTCTCGAATTTCAGCTGTTCGCTACCATGAAGTCCTTCGTCGCCGTTCCTGCCCTCTTCGCCCTCGGCGCCCTGGCCGACGGATGGGCCTTTACCTGGACGTTCTCCAATGGACACAGCACCTGGACCTCGTGCACCTCTGCCGCTGCGAATGCAACTGTTGCCCCCGTCGAGGTCTCTACTTCCAACGCTCCCTGGTCCGAATGGACATCCACAACCTCTTATACGGCGACTTATAGCTCCGGTGCCTCGACATGGGGTATCCCGACAGCCGTGAGCTACAGCGTGGCGTCCAACTTCACGAGCATGATCCCTGCACCGACGACAAGCACTCAAGCGACCGCGACCGCAGTGGCGCCCACGACTTCTGCGCCAGCTACTTCAGTCGAGGCATCCAAGACTTCCGCCGCCCCATCTGCATTCACAGGCGCCGCCGCTCCTAACGTCAACGGGAAGATTGCCGGTATTGGTGCTGTCGCCATGGCTGGGTTGGCATTGGTTCTGTAAATGAAGCTGGCCGAAGGAAGGGAATCTGGACGGCAAAGACACGAGGCCAAACACCCGTGAGGCAGGGCACGACCTTGGAAACGCTTCCTCATGTGTGCGTCATCTCGACCGCCAGCGTCGATTTCGTCAGCGAACATTGAGAGTCTAGGGTGGGGGAGGCTATCGTGAGGAACGAGGTTTTTGGTTCCTCATTCGACTACCTCGTCTTCGAGATGAACCTACAGAATACGAATATAGGTCGTCTTGGCCTCGTTTCCCCCATTCAAGATGTATTAGCAAAAACGAACTGATTTGTTCTACATACGTACATACGTACTCGGTACCAAGTACTTGTTGCAGGCCCAATGTAATCAATCAGCAATCTCAGAAAAATCAATCGAATTAATCTCAAGTTATCCAATACTCTCCCTACTACCGAGTAATTCATTAGTTTTCAATCCTCCTGCTCCAAGTAGGTATTTTGCAGAATCATTCGAGAACCCGCCCGCCCAACCGCACGCCACTCTGGTTCTCAACTTGGCGAGGTACAAGTACTCCGTAGAAGGAGAGATTATATTCGTCCTTTGAAGGAATCGCTCTCAACTCGTGGGAGGAACGGCATGGTGAGACACTCACTTACTCACTGCTCACTACCACGTCTCTTATCCAGAAAAAAACAAAAGAAAAGAAAAGAAACCAACAACAACAACAACAGGATCTCGCTCGCGTGGTTTGTTAATACAAGCACAAGTACATAATTTCAGGACGATTATGATTGTCTGTTGCACCTAGGTACCGAGTATGGGGGATCCATATTCCCGCCGTGGACGCGTGGGACTCGTGTGGACTCGTGGACTCGTGACTCGTCTCGTGGCGCAGTATAGTTGTCCCCACTGGGTTCTCAACCAAGGTGTGGGTTGTGGAGCGCGTAAATTAATAAGCATCAACATCTCCGTAAACAAGCAATACTGGATGTCTTGTGTACTTGTTCATACAAACCTTGAAACCCTTGAAACAGATTTGATTCGATCTGATCCATTGTGCGTGTCATTTCACCGACGAGCCGTACTTGCTGACCGGCCGTCGCTGTAGCCTGATACTCCTCGTACTGGTGGTACTCGGTCCTCCTACACTCTGGTCCACTCACTCCCTCGAGAACGGCAGACAAGCCAAGACAGGCCAAGAGACGAGAATTGTACCCCGAGCTGACATGCACGTGGCTGTTTTGTTCCAGTTGTAAGTCAGTTTATCAAGTCAGTCTATCAATCAGGCCAGCACCGCAGCCTTGGCCCTTTGTCCTTGGCCTTCTTCCTGTGGTATGTTTCTATGTACGTGCTCGCGTATGATGACTCTCACACATGCACCTGGCACATGCCTTCTTAGTTTCTAGATGGCCTTGACGGCCTTGTTCAGAGATGACTCCAAGGAATTCCCTTCCTCTCACACGCTTCATACAGAGTAAGTGAAAATAACACTAAGGAAGGAAAAAGTCGATCCCTGTCGAACAGCAGCGCACTGCCATCAAGAGTTCCCCTATTCCCCGTTGAATGTCACTTGGAATAGATACATACCGCGCGCGATCTGTCGGTGCGAGTGTCAGCGTCAGCGTCCACGAGGAACAAGAAAAGCAGAGACCAAAAAGGAATGGAGGACAACTCGAGTGAACGTCAGGCGAAGGAGCTATCTGTGCTGGTCGTTGGCGCGGGAATCGCAGGTCTCTGCGCGGCGATCGCCCTCCGTCGAGCCGGGCATAGAGTAAAGGTATGTAAGGAATTGCCCGCCTTTTTCTTTGGCTAGTCACCGGTATGAGAGGAAGAAGATACAAAGCGGAGTGTAAGAGGGAGAGGAGGAGAAGAAGACCGAGACGCGAGTCTGCTGAAACGGAACAAAGCTGCTCAACCCATTTACTGTTGTCGCTTTCTAGATCCTGGAGCGCTCGCCACTGCTCGACGAAATCGGCGCCGCCATCACGCTCGCACCGCACGCCGTCAAGATCTTCCGGTCATGGGGGCTGGACGACGCCAAAATAGCCCAGGCCAGGCTCATCCCCCGACTGGGCCAGACGTTCATCGACGCCACGACGCTCGAGGAGCTGGCGCCCACGGACCGCACCGACTTCGCTGGCGTGTACGGGGCGCCGTACCTGTTCGCGCACCGCGTCGACCTGCACGCCATGCTGCGGACGATGGCGACGGGTCCCGACGGTCCCGGTCGGCCGGCGGAGGTGCACACGTCGCGCACCGTTGTCGAGTACGACGCGGGAAGGGGTAGCGTCAAGGTCACTGGAGAAACAGACAGTTGGGAACCCCCGGCTGACTTGGTCGTGGCGGCCGATGGGGTGCACTCGCGGGCGGCGTCGCACGTTCTAGGCCACGACGTCGACTGTGCCGCGCACGCGACCAACAGCACGGTGATCCGCTTCCTGATCCCGACGCGCGAGATTCTCCAAGACCCGCACACGGCGCCGTTGCTACGACGGTATGGCGACGGCCACTGCTCGTTCTACCTGCACTCGGACCGCCGACGGTGGCTGGTGCGGTACCCGTGTCGGGACAACACGCTGCAGAACTTTGGCATGTACATGTACGTCGACGAGGAGGAGGAGGAGGAGGAGGAGCAGCAGAATCACCGAGGGTGGACCCAGCAATGCGGCCCTGACGACCTGCGCGCCGCCATGACGGGATTCCACCCGACGCTCCTCCGCCTCTGCGACAAGACTGACAACACCATCCTGCCCCTGTGGCGGTGTGCAGAACGCGACCCCCTACCCAGGTGCCAGCGCGACAGGCTCGTCTTGATCGGCGACGCGTGCCACCCCATGCTCCCACACCGGGGCTTCGGGGCCATCAACGCGATCGAGGACGCCGCCGCGCTGGGCGTTCTCTTTGAAGACTTTGGTCTCTTCCGCGCGGGTCGAGACCGTGAGTCAACCCCAACCCCAACCTCATCTGCGTCATCAGTGCCGAAGTCGATGTCTGCACCAGTATCTGGGTCTATCTCCACCCTCCTCGAAACCTTTGAGCACATCCGCCTCCCCCGCGCCTCAATCGCCCAGCTGTACTCGCAGGTCGCGACGAACAAGGACCCCACCGTTGAAAGACGGCGCGAGGCCGCGAAGCTGCTCCCGGAGGACGAGTTGCCTGGTAAGTAAGCACATGCACAAAAGACAAGCACACCATCACATCATGAGGCATGAGAAATGAGAAGTGAGATACAAGCACACACGCGCGCGCGCACGAACTCAAAAGGAAGTAAAGGAGGGGGGGGGGGAGAGAGAGAGATCTCTGCCATACCATACCATACCCACACTTCTACCTATACCCACAGCTGTATATCGACGATACATACCCCGATCCGTCCGTCCCTTGTATCTGTCGTCCATGACCCCCCTTCCCTCCCTCCCTTCCCTCGTTCTCTCCCATCTTCCTATCCTCATATTCACATCCTCATATCTCTTCCTACCACCGAGGCCTCCCCCATCTCCTTTCCTTTCCCTATTCCCTCCGCTTTCCATGGATCCCAATCACATCCATATCCCTCACGTATCCTTCGCCGATCTGAACCGTCACAGGTCACTGACGGGACAACAGAAAACACAGACCAAGTCATTCCCTGGGTCTTCGGCTACGATGTCGTCGAAGCAACTCGCCGAGCCAAACAAAAACTCTTCGAGACACCAGCGACGACGTCTCTCCACGCCTAAACGACTTTCACCCCGACTCTTCTCGCTCTTTGTGAGAACCAAACAGGCACGATAGCCAGAAACCATACATCTCTTGAACTAGTTGGCGTTACTTTTGGCCCGAATAGTAAACTCAGACGTCTTGAGATAGTGCTGTGATTGAATAAAAGTTAATGATGCCATACATGCCATCAATGGTTAATCGTGTGTACACTATTTACTTGAATACAACATGTGGCGAAACCCATCGGCCGACAGAACTTTCAATATCCCAAGTGGATTACTCCATCGCTTCTTCCTGCCAGTCAGCCCTTCCTCCACAAACTCTGGCTTTTCTTCAATCTCCTTGACCTCAGCATAATATATCTCCGCTGGATCCTCTGGCCCTACCTCCGGCCCTCCCGGGTCCTGGACAACCTTTTGTCTCCTTGTTCCCTTTGCCGGGCCATGTTGTCCTGGGGATATAGACAGCTTTCTGGTGACACTGCTCCCTATCATTCGACTGACTACATTCTCCATCGTGTCAACCTCTGGTATCTCACGCGCCTTCGTTCTCGCTGGTGTCACCTCGTCAAAACTTTCTTTGCGAACTTCGAAGACATGTGTCGGATACTTCATTCTGCTCCGTCGGCTCTCGTTTGACAGGTCGAACGACTTGCGGCTGGTAAGTGACAAGCTTCCAGGCCGCCTCGAAAACGGAGCATGGATGGAAGCCAGACTCAACTTTCGAACCAACGAACCAGCCGACGCTCTGATGATTTGACCACCCCGAGAGCCAATCATACCTGGGTACGGCAATTTCTCCTTTGTCCAAACATCACTCAGGGTTGATTCGAGCCTTGCCCGCTCCGACCGTTTTGGTGCTAGGACAACCACCCTGTTGGACGTCATATGTGACTGAGATCTGTTGATGGCTGAAGACGACGGTTGACGAAATTCGTGCAAGTCTTGTGGATTGTTTGTGTTTCGAATGATAACTTGGCAAACATTGGCCCGGTTTCCTACTGTGGCCGCTCTTTGTACTGAAGGGTTCCTGGACAAGGTCGAACTCTGCTGGATGTAGACCTGCCCGAGAGATCTGAGGCTGAGACTGATGCTCGAGGGAATCTGGTTCAACACTTCATCCGTCCCCCTTCCTGGAGCAACCTTGTTTTGTAGGCCCCCTCTCCAAACACCTTCCTCGATGGAAGAGCAGGCACTCAGTATGAATTCGTGTAGGTGACCGCCAATCTCGAAACATAGTTTCCACGTGTAAAGAGTCGAGTGGCATTGAAGACCTCGACCGTCACTGGCCGATTCAATTCTCGTGTCTCGCAGATGCAAGAAAGCGATCGCTTCAAATTTCGTCGTGGCTCCTGCAGGCAACGCGATGATGAGACTGGTGTCAAACAACAAGCAGAGCGCGTAACGACCGTCGACTCTATTATTCCTAGCCTGCCAGACCACATGCAGAACACCACTCAATTGGATATTCCCCAGCATCCGAATTTGCTCGGCCCCTAGAGATACGTGATCGCAGATCAGCCTTGTCTGAAGTGACCATCGTCGTTGAATCTGAGTTCGAGTTTCGTGGTTATCCGTGGCTCTATTGACAGTTTGAACAACTTCTCTCAAGCATGTCAAGACTGCTTCAACCTCGGAATGTGCACTTGGGCAGTCCGCCACGGGTGTTTGCTTCAAAAGATCGCCAAATAGGAGAGGGTATTTTGTCATGCGCTGTATCGGTTTGATCAGAAGATCACTAACCGTGAGGCCTTTTCTTTCGCTTTGGTATTTTTGATTGAGCGCAGTAATGGACCTTGCTAGTGATTCGATTCCTGACTCATAAGTTGACCAAAGTGTGGGAGAATGCCGTTGCAACTCGTGGGCGATGAGGCTGTGATTGGCACAATATTCCTCGTATACCAGAAAGTCACCCAAGAAATCCCGAAAAATCGCTGCTACGTCAGCAACATCCTTGGGTTCTGTTCCATCCGAGGGAGCCCGACCGCGTGACAGTTCGGCCGAATCCATCGAGCTGCGCGTTCGACGATGGCTGCGCCCGAGCTTGGCTGCAACACTGGACTCCAGGCTCCTCCAGCGCTTGTGATAAGGTGGTGACCCGAGACGTCGAGGGGAGGTCGTATCTTCCCACTTTCGTGCTGCCGCCTCGTAGGTAGCCTGGTGCAACCGCTCCAGGAGTCTCTCGTGCACGGAGAGAAGATCATGGACATTTCTTAGGATGGATGATCTGACCCGGTCTGTAACCGTCATGCTAGTTGCCAGAAGAGTCGAATATAGGTACATTAAAGCCTTTAGATCGGCAACATAGCTCTCTTCAGTGGTGACCAGCTCAACAAGAATTTGTCTTCTTTTAATGGCTCTTCGAAAGGCAGCCTCGTCCACAGATGTTGACGTCTGCGGTCGTTCGCTTTCCACTGAAGGTCTCGCACTTGAGCCAAAGACATAATAACTGTCTGTTGAACGACCGATACGAAGTGACCGAGGAACAAGGCTGAAACTTGCGTTGCTGAGACTCGCTGTTTTCATGGTGTGGACGAAGCCCGACGAAGCAGTTGAATTTCTCTTTCGGTGCAGGCTCGAGTGCTGCCCTAGATTCGGCGTGTCTTCCGAGGTATCTGCCAGGAGTGATGTCTCGAGGACGGATTGGAGAGGCTCGTCCACAGCACTGAACCAGTCTCGAGTGTCTTCGATTGGGAGTGTAGTCTGATCCTCACATTTTTCCTGTTCAGCCCAACATACTTCCGTAGACAGTGACGTGCGAAGTCTGTGATGTCCTCGACCCTTTGAGCCGGGAGCATGCTGCAAGTTTCGTGGGCGCTTCTCCTCATTGCATACCTCTGCCAGCGGTTCGCGAGCCTGACTTGGACTAGCAAGATACCTATGGGCAGAGCCGGTGCTGACGCACACGTCTGGAGTGGTTCGCTGAAATAAGGGCGATCTTAGGTCTTTGGCCAGTGACAGTGATTCATGGTATTCGGAGCATATTCTGAGGCTGTTACTCGACGAAGGTCCCTGGATTCGATCAGATAATGTCGGAACGAGATTTTCGCAGCACGGCAGATTGCGATCTGGTTTTGTTACTTGCGCAGGAGCTGATGAAACAGATTGAACCGGCGCTGAGGAACTTTCCAAATTCTGCTTGACGCAAAACGGTTTCAATGAAGTTGAGGAGATCCGTGGGTGGGCAGAATATGCTGTCCGCGAGCCACAAAAGATGTTCGCTCTGTTATCGAGATGTCTGCTGAAAGGACTCGTTATGACGGACGGCAAGAGCTGAGCCGTCATGGTTTTATCAATAGCACATAAATTAAGCTCGTAAAAAGATAGGATCTCAACAATGGAAGACAAAATGAGAGCCAACGGTCAAAATTCCCATTTGAGGGACCAAACGACCAACGTTGAGAGGGTGCCCAAAAGTTGAGTGATACGACATGACAACAGTGACAGTTGGAAGACGGCCGAGAGCGAAGAGGCTTTCAATCGACCAGTTTCCAATCTGGCGGACAAGGGAAGGTGAGGTCTGGTGATACTTATAGAGAAGGAGCAAGGCTGTAGTGATAGAACGAGTCTCACACATTTTGTCCAGGCTATTGCTGGAAAAGATGAATACATTTCCTACCTAGACACCCGTCACCTAGATTTGACCAGAGGAGACAGCCTCAGAAAGAAATTGTCTGTGAAACATGGGCGCCAAAGCCACCGAATACATGACAGGTAATCAAAACAAGCTGCCGTTTGAGGTATCAGAGGGGGAAATCTGCGCTCGGGAGACTAGTCGCTATGATAAGTAGATAGCACACTCATCAAAAGCCGTTGAATTGAATGATCGAGCCACGGCATGACGATGCCGTACAGAGAACAAAGACTGAAGTCCAACCTACAAGGCAATCAATCGATCAAGCTGGATCTGAAGCAAGGCGGCGCATGCGGCGGCGGCTGCGGTGGTGGTTGTGGCAACGGAACCGGATAAACATCGGAAAAACCGCCTTCCCCGCTCACATTTGTCCCTTTTGCACCCACGCATTCAGAGGTTGCCTGCGCTGAACATGTTTGTTACTCAAACATCTTCCTCTGGCTCGCATCTCTTGATCTGCCTGTACACTTGATGAATGACCATGGGACTTCCGATGGACGCTAACCTCGCCGAGATACATGTCCCAAGTGGACCTACCTCGATCCACCAGGCGGAGTCGTTTGACGGTCTCTCTTTACAGCAACTCATTGCACGCAAGGACAATCTTGAGGCAGAACTCAAAGCCTTGGGCGCAGTCCTAGATAGCCATGGAGTCACCATGCAAACAAGCCTGACCACATTCGATGGGTTTCCAAGATCAGATATTGATGTGGCGCAAGTACGAGTTACAAGAGCTCGGATTGTTGTGCTCCGCAACGACTGGAAAGCTCTGATGGACAAAATCGAGAAGGGCCTTCACGAACATCATGCCAAATACCAAGCCTCGGACGAA